AAATGGCGGTTAATTGCTCCACGTGCATTGTAAATGCAGTTTTTGAACCGCATAGGGGGAGGGGAGGAGGATGCACATCGGCGTGACTTGTTGCGCACATGCGATCAATAGCGCATCGATCGCGGTGACACGCGACCGCGTTAAACATTAAACCGATTACCGCGTTCTACCTGGTTAATTAAACCTTTATTACGTCTGTTATTATCCCCGACAATAGAAAATAATCCCCGTATGAAAATATTCGTCGCCGTTCCTCTCCATTCCCTCTCGATTGTATTAATTCGAAATGTAAACGCGATTTATTATCACTCAGAGAACTCTGTCTATTTATTATATTTTATTCGTAATTTATGGTAATTTACTTTCGTATTTACAGAGTTACAGATCAAAGGATGTTTCGAGCACGATAATATCATTTCGCGTGGATTATTGAAATGTGATAAAAGTGATTTTTTTTTTTTTTTTATAATGTATAATAACGAAAAATATTACAGATATGAATAAGCAAAATATATAATTTGAAATGTGATGAAAATGATTTTTTTAAAGATGTACAATGTATAGTGCTAAAAAAATCGACGTTTCGTATATTTATATTTATAAACTTTGTTGAATTGTATTTCAATATATTATTTCTTCTAATGAGAAGATTCTTGTATTCGAGTTGTTTTATTTATAAATTAAAATAAATTATGTAAAGAGAGCGAAGTTCAATCAATCTGAACGAATATATCGATGAAACGTATTTAATTGTGACATATTACTACTTAGACTTTCATGAGTCTAATATGAATGAGTCTAATTTGAATTTGTAATTTGTAAATTTCATAAATTCAAGAAAATCATAAATTATATGTTAATAATTTGTATATCATAACAAAAATCGATATAACGTTGTTACACATAAAGGAGAAAGAATCCAAATATTTACGCACGCCTGACTAATTTAGACTTATTCTACTTGTAGAGCTAACAGATTTACAATGAAGTGAGATCGACACAATTTAATTTCGTGTTTATTAAATTTTTTTTCTCTTTTTATATTGTACAATTTTTATCTCTTCAAAATAAGTTTATCTCGATGCAAGAAATTTAATTTGCATATCTTGAGATAATTTTACAATTACGAAATAATGAAATGACTTTATTTATTGAGCTAATCAAAATAATCCTCCTTCACGTTCCTTAATCTGTAATTCTCTTCTCCTCGATATCTTACTTTTCTTAACTTTTACATCTTGCATTTCCAATTTAAATATAAACATTAAATGAAAACATCTTCCTTATCTTTATCTACCATTAAATTGTTACAAGAAACTTATCATCATCATCATTATTATTATCATTACATTTTCAGCAAGAAATTTAAACAAAAAAAAAAGAATATTAATAAATCTGAAATGGAATCATAACCTTCAAAAATAAATTTCGTTCGAACACGATCCTTCGTCTGTAAAAACACGACAGATATTCTTGGAGTGTTTGCCAGTCCAGATCAAACAAACCCTGCTTATATTTCTTCGTATGAATTCATGAAAAAAAAAAAAAAAAAAAAAAGAAAACGAAGATTTCTCTCAGGAGAAGATCCCCATTGTCCCACGCTACGCATATCTCGCGTGTGTACCACGACAAACAAGCCTCACACGCGTGAGAGAATCGCGAATACTTAACACATCATTATGTCACGGATTCCGCAATTAAAGGCGGCGAGTCAACAAACAGGAAGTGCGTACTTCCTGAACGTTAGCTGCGACAAACCTTTTATATAATGTTCTGCCCTATATTTTTTTTCAGAGCACCCTGGTAAAACCTACTTTATAAACCGCGCGATTCAGCCTTCGCAATTATATGCAGCCGAGTATGAAACCATTGTGCCGTTGTTGTGTCGTCCCTTCTCTTTCCACTCTTCCATTATTATTATTATTTTGTGTGTGTGTGTGGGTGTGTAGAAATAACCTTCGAAATCTTCCTTTCTTCGAGAAATGGAAATAGGTAATCGTGAACCAGTTCTCTGGTCGCTTTTAAAAATTTTTCTCGATCTCGTTGACGATCGACGGAAAAGGAAGATTTATGAAATTTATGAAATTTAATAATTCACGAAATATTGTGAAATATCGCGGAAGAAGATTATCGAAAATTTCTTTTGCGATTGTAAATTTTGTAAAAAAATGAAGCTGTTTTTATCTCCTGAATAATTATATGTAGAGTGTCAAAGTTATCTTTAACCATTTTATCGGAGTAAAGAAAAAAAAAAAAGATATGCTTAAACTCGTTTAAAGTTTTTTACAACTTCCTTAATTAGTTTGTACCTCGATAAAGACCAAGTTTTAATGATCGTTAATTTTATGAATAACAGTATCCATCGAATAGAAAGATATTCGCGTATTATATTTTTTTCCTGGAATGTATAATTGAAATGATTCGATGCATACAGTGCATTTCAATATTCATAACGATTCATAACGATTGTAATGCAGAATACAAGAATATAAAATATCGAATGGAAACGGTAATTGAATTAAAATGAAATCTTTTATCTGATTACCCTTTCTTTCTTTAACACAGTTAATACATTACATGATCTAAAAAGAGATATAAAACTTTGAAGAGAACTTGGAAATTGGATTATTATGATTTTTTCCATCTGACACCTACATTTTTTCCTTAATGTAGTCGAATACAATAATAATAATAATAATAATAATAATAATAAAGAGAGAATTATAATGTTAAAAACGTAATAAATATATTATCGATGTATCTCACGCCGGCAATTAAAAAAAATTCTGCTGTTTGCTCGAATCTTATTTCATTATGAATAATTTTTATTCATCTAATCACGCGATTAATAGCAAAAATATTATGCTTCGTTGAATTAATTACTTACACTCCAAAAAGAAATTGTTTTTTAGTACGACATATAATTTTTTATGACGATATATAACATACAAAGATCCTTGATATCAACAGAAAATATTACATTTAAATGTTTTGATTGATTTATTAAACTTAATCAATATTTCTTTCAATTATAGCATTCTTTCAATAAAGAATGTTTCAGGAAGAATAATACATATATTTTATGGTAATTAAAAATAAAAATGAAGAGTTTCATAGGGGAAGAATATTTAAATTACACGTATGATTAAACGTATCAAATAAAGTTGAAATTTAAATTTCAATCATGGATATTTCATATATCACAAATCTATTTAAAGGCATGATTCAGAATATTATCTCTAGCAATGATAAATACTAAATCTATAAAGGAAAGAAATTGTATTCTTTCAATTGCAAATAAGCATTAACTCGTGATAAATTCTCGAATGTTTTCGATCATCGATACAATGTTTGTAAACAGAGGCAAAACAAAATTAAAGCAGATGAACCAACACAGGGAACGCAGCAGAAATGAAAGTATTGATTAAGTCACGGGCAAGCTGATGACGTTGAAAATAAAGTTTATCTGGAGACTGAGGATTAAGCGAGTTTGTAATCCACTGAGTTAAACCGCTTGGTTAAGGGTGGCTGGAACGTGGATTCCGGCGCTACCGGGGTGACATCTTTCTCCCTCCCCTCCCTTCCGGAATTATTCCGTGCTCATCGTTAATTAATTAATTAGAATGCGTTAACGCACAAATGGATCCCCTTTCTATTTTTGAACGTATTATCTGCGTGCCGCGAAATAAGCTTCATTTCTAAATTTAATTCTGGTCGATAAATTACGAATGATTATGCCATAAAGTGATTTTACCTAATCTGGTAATTATTCAAATTATTAAAGATGATAAAATATTTATACATTGTTTTCCTAGATTCTTTATCATTCGCGACGAAGTCATGTTAGGAATATTGCAATGAGAAAATTTATTTTTGACATGTTAAGAGAAAAATATCGAACACTGATTTTGCTATCGTTAAATTTTACATTTCTTTTCCTTTTTTTCAAATAATCTATTATTGTATTGTTATCGTATAATCAAATACTACGTGCTATTTTCTTTTATTCTTTTTTCCCCAATATGTTTAACTTTTTATAATAAATTTTAAAGAAATCGTGCCATTTTTCCAAAATAAAAGAAGAAATTTGTTATTATTTCACGATAGCGAAGATTAGAATATAATTAATAAAATTAGACGAATGTGCGTTTTCCATCTTTAGAAAAAAATTATTTGTAATTGTAATCAGTTATCAAAAAATATAATTAGAGCTTGTTAAGTGAATTTGTAAAATTTTCTCGACAAGAAAATTTTAAAAAAATCAGTGGAACAGTTGTTTCTCAATAAATCAACGGAGCGCGAATAAGAATCAAACTCGACAATGAATTAAACGCTTCGTCTAGCGTTAATTACGAAGCTTCTTCGCATAATAATCAGATCACGTGTAAAACGAAAGTGCGTTAATTATTCCGCGTAATTCTTCGCATCTCTATCAACTGTACACATAACGAAAGAAACCGATTAACATAAATTTCGTTTGTCATGGAAATTTTCATTCGTTTTGGCGGGAAGTGAATAATAGCTTCGAGGAATTAGGGCAAATTGTTACTTGTATGAACGCGAATTTATTATTATTCACCGTGTCCCTGAGACGTGAGTGTATGTAATATTATGTTCTACGTGTTGATAACAAAATGGAGAAATTTAGGAACGGGTATTCTCCGCGTTTATTCCGTTTTCAAACGACATGACATGGTTTTGAGCTGTGTGTATTCGTGTGTGATTTGACTTTATATAGTCGTGAGCAAAAGTTGAACGTAGTTGAAAACGAGGATGAAAGGATCGAGAAAGGAAATTTAGTGATTTAACGCTGGCTTTATTCCGCGTATTCCCATTTCAGACACAGTCATGATAAAATTAATTTCAAAGTGGAGAACGAAACATAGCTGGACAGTATCCTGTAACAATGAATCGAATTATAATTTTGATAGACGATAGATTTGTGTTCCTTAAAAAATTTCCAGGTCACTTCTTAAGTTTATTAAATAAATATACGTGGAGAAAGATACAATAATTCTTCTTTATTAATTACATTAAAAATCGAATCCTTAAATCAATTATCTAAACATCTTTACATCATAATCGCTCTTTCAAATTCGCTTATTCACAAAAATAGGCCACAGAAGTAGAAGAAATTTAAATTCCAAAGTGGGAAAGGAGTAATACAGGTCTGCGAAAAAAAAAAAAAAGAAAAGAAAAGAAAAGAAAAGAAACAAAAAAACAAACTCACGAATTGCATGTTACAAAACATTATAGATAAGTTTTATTAGTCGATATTTTACAATTCACATGGCGAGAGATCTCGCGATCATCGCGTCACTCGATATTCAAAATGCGTGCGTGCGAACGCCATTTTATCTCGTAAATCTTCCTACTCGAAATCTCCCCTTCCACGATTCGTCTCCAATTTCGTCTTCGAACGAAACGAAAAGAGGAAGAATGGGAGAGAGAGAGAGAGAGAGAGCGAGAGACTGAAGGCAGCGTTTGCACGCCGATCTCGAATAATCGTGATCTCTCGCGAGAACGTGTAACCCACCGTGACGTGTACATTCAACATGCGATATACTTCTCGTAGCACCTTAGTCTTAGACAGGGAGGGCAGCGTAAGGGTAGCGGATTCCTCTCGATGCCAATTGCCAGGTATGACGATGTTTCTCGTTTTATTTTTTTTTTCTTTTTCTCTTTTTTCTTTTTTTTTCTTTTTCTTTCTTTTTTTTTTTTATTTTTTTATTTTTTTTGCTCAGCAATGGGGGCATCGGATGAGACCGTTCACGTCGCATTTCGCGCATTTCAAGGCGACGAATTCCGCGGTGAAGTCGTTGCGGTGAACGGATCTCTTGCTTCCGTTGCAAACAGGACACAGCTGCCACTGATAACCTCCGCAGAACAGGCAGACTGTGCAGGCGTCCTCGCTCTGGAATAAAGATCAATGAGCGATTTTAAATTTGAGCGAATATAAATTTGTCAAAGCAATGTCAGGATTTGGAATCGAGGATTTTCGTTTTTCGACGATATTTTGTTTTTTTTGGAATTGTTTCTCTTTTCACTTTTTTTTTTTTTTTTTTTGGGACGAATGAGATATTCGTGATGCTCGTTTAGATTGACGCGCAATTTTTTTTGCATCGTGTCGTTCTACTTTAATTTTTAACGTGGTTTGAAGTTACATTTATTTTTATTAGTAAAATTTCCATATTCTACAAATTATATAAAATTACAAGAAAAGTTATGCACGCTTATGTATTCGTAATAACAATTCGTAGACACGATTTTAAAGAAGTCAATGGCACTATTGAGAAACTGTAATCGAGTACTATAAATACTTCCGGTGATAAAACAATAGTGGGCTAACAATAGGTAGGATAATTATGGAAGGAGAGTATTTTGAACCGTATTACGATAGTTGATAATTATCTTTCATAAACAATAAGATCACACCTCACGAAATGATCGCCTCAAGTTTGAATCGAGGTATGTACGTTTTCTGAATGGATTCTAAATACGTGTATACGTTATAAGTGAGATAAGTTCAAGAATATATCCATTTTGATTAATCTTCGAAAGAATTATGGAAAAATACAGGAGGGAAATTGGAAATTGAACAACAGGTTCGTTGAAAAATCATCTTCGCTTTAATTCCAACTTCGTATCAACGCGATCGCAATGAGAAAGTGACGATAAAATAATCAGAGACTCGATATCCAGAAATATCATTCGTGATTCCCAGTCCCACGATTATCCGAACCAATTCCATTCGCATAATATCTACATCTCATCTACTTAATGCCCACGACTTAATGGACGAATGATTGCCGGACTCAATCGTTTAACGATTATAAAATAAGCGTGACGATCCTTATTCCTGCATTAGTTTCCAGTGCACGCGATGTTGCTCAACAACGCTTTCACTTTTACTCATTTTCGATTGCATTCTTCAAGCAAAAAAAAAAAAAAAAAAAAAAGAAGAAGAGGAGTAATGTAGGAAACGAAATTATTTGTTCGACTTCCTTAAATTGAAACACAATTTCGAAATATTTCGCGACTTCTACCTTTTTTCCTGTAATTTTTTTTTTTTTCCTTACTTGTTTAATGATCGAAGCCAGGCTTTTTCTGCTAGGAACTAAAATTTTAACAAATTATTATCGGCCAATATTATTCAATCATATGATTATTACTTATCTGAGATTAAGAATTTCGAATAATTAATTGGTCATAATGTTTTTTTTTTTTTTTTTGAATACGAACTCAGAAGAGTATAGTTCAAGATTTTCTTTAAAGAATCAAGAAAGAGACGAGTCAAAAGAAAATGAAACCAATATCGAATCTCCATTGTTGCTAGAAACAATTCATATTTTTCGAATCCAATCCAAAATGAAAACGGACAACAGATTGAAAATCTGGATGGAATATTGACGTAATGATTACGTTTACGCGTAATTTCATCCATAGTTGATGACAAGATTGATATTCAATTTGTTAACGAAATAAAATCTTCTTTACGTATTAAATCTTTACGCGTTGTGTGCATGCTTATCGTGTCTAAGGAAGATCAGAATATCGATGATACATTATGCAAGTATTGCGTAAAAAGACAAGGTGAAAAAGGGTACGTCAGAATGGCGTGGGTATGTCATTTAATTACAAGCCTTTCTGCACGTGAAACAAGTCGATAATTAACTTTCGTTCGGGAGAGATAAAATAATTTTACGATTTTTTTTTTTCTCGTGAAACTTTCTTCGTTTTTCCAAGGACAGGATATAGATAATTTTCTACGTTTCTAGCGTCTTCTCGAAGCTTAGTGTGTTCATTGTGACGTAACGTTGGTCAAAAATTTAAGATGTTTGAAATTATTAATAGGGAGAAAATTTTGTGAAAAGGACATCAAGCCCACTCTGTTGAGTTACAAACGCGTATTTTGTGATTATCTTGCATCACGAATGAGGTTGGAAAGATGAGTGTCGTTACGCAACTGGTTGGAATGGATTGATTAAACTGAAAGAAATGAACGATACGTTTCGTGTAATTTTCGTTTTATAATCGTGATTCTTATAGGCTGCAATTAATACAAAACAATTGCTTATAAAGAAATAAAAATTTCAGAGTAACGGTTGAAGATAATTTCTCCAGTAAATAATTGGAAACCAGAAATTTCGTAACGAATAAGCGATACATCTACTCAAATCGTAAAGTTATAGATTTAACAAAACGAAATTGAACAAAACTCATTTCCATCGTGAAATCTCCACAATCTTCTATTACACATCGCAATTTCTCGAATCACAATCTCGAATACAACTCATTATTCTCAAAGAACTTTGAATGATCAAATTCGTGTGCATAACATTTCTCGAATTTTCTAATTCTAACATTCGAAAGATTCGAATTTCAGATTTACGATATTTCGAATGAAACGAATACTTCATCGAAACTAGATTCCAAAAGACATTTTTAAACAATTTTAAAGAAAGAAATATAATTTCGTATACGAATAATATCATCCACTCAAATCACAAAATCACAGAAACTACAATCTTCTATTACACACCGCACTCTTTATAAAATTGAAACATTCGCCTTCATTTCAAAATTACCTTCAAAATTATCGAATCCAACGATCAAGTACGCGAAGTTTCTCATAATTTAATCATCAATTAACATTATTAATTAACATTCGAAGATGGATTAACGATAAAAGGGACGAACGTCCTCGCGTGGATCGACGCGAACGAGGAAAAAGGAGGCATTTAAGGGCAGGGGGAGGAGGGGGAATAGAAAGAATATAAGGAGAGTGACAGTGGTTGGAAACACGGACAAAGGTGTAAACGACCTTTCCTCGCTGCAAGGTAAACCTCAATCGCACGACATCGAAATTTATGATCGTGATGGAAAAGGAAGGTGGAAGGCAGATATCGGCGGATAAAAGTGAAAGGATCGTTAACAACCTTGTGCCCGCGACGGATTACGCGCTCGCGCGTCCGCCAACACCGATCACCACGAGCTCCTTTATGGCCGCTGTATCGCGTGTATAGGACACGAACACAACTGTTCCATTCTTCTAACAGGCATAAATATCCCAAAGACACGGGGAGTTACGTGGCGAATTCTCGGAACCGGGCGCGGGATTCCTGAAGGGTCGAGTAAATTCTTTTGGACGGTCTGGGGGGATATCGACAGGATCGTCCGTAATTCTTCGCGAGGATTACACGTTCAGATTGCGGTAAATCCTCGGTGTCCGGCAGCGAATGTAAGAGGAGGAAAGTGGATTCTTTCTTTTGAGTTACGTTCGCGAGGAATATTTATTACGCGAGGGTTTTTATTTAGGGAAATTTTAGGGAAACAATCTTGGAAAAATAGAACGTATCCGTGAAAGGAATTGTTTAATTGATGTTTGATCGTTGACGATGATATTTGGAATAGATATTTTGAGGATGGAGAGTGATTTTTATTTTCATTCGATTGATACGAATTTTTGAGTCCAAGGATTTTGGATAGGATTGGTTCGTTGATTTTGAATTAATCTGATTAATCGTAATCGAGGAAAATTGATGATTTGAATCAGTTTGAATCAGGTGTCAAATGGAGGAATGGACTGTTGTCCTAATTTCTAATTACCTGGTAGGGCTTAAGCATCTCTCTTAATTCTCCGGATTCGTTGAGTCGTTCCACGGTATCGAATCCCTGTAAAAAGAAAAAGGTTTTTTAAGATCACGAAGAATTATTGTTGTAAAGTAATATTTCCATTTCTTGTTTTATTTTTTCAATTAATCCCGGAAAATGCAATTGATCAAATACGTGATAATCGATAGCGATTAGTATGCATACTATATTAATGACGAAAGCTCGTATTAGCATGTATAAACAAACAGAATCTATCAAAATATTTATTACATGACTAACAGATGCGTTATAATCACTTTCGTTTTGCTGTGAATTTCCTTATTTTATGGTATTTTTATCGTTGGCCATTTACCAGTATCACGTTATCATGTACAGTGTATAATACTGACGACAGCTACTAGTAATGAACATTTTATGAAGATTTATTGTTTAAACGGTTACGCATTTGAGTGATTTTTAATGATGTTTCTTCAATTAATTTTTAAAATAAACTCTACATGTGCTCATTTTTTTTATTTTATTCGGATTTTGTCTTTTTATTTATTTATTTATTTATTTATTTTAGAAAAAGTAGTTTGATTTTCAGTGAAAGAAATTTGCAAGCAAAGCAAATGTGATCTGTAAAAAACGCGTCTCAATTTTTAATTCGACTCGTGGAAATGTTTCGACATTAAACTGTGAGACGAGAACCGGTATAAAATGGAACCAACCTTCTAAAGGTTTCTGTCACGGTTGTGTTGATGATGTTTTCTAAATTTCATAGCTCGAGCGCTTTTAGTTTTTAATTTTCAATTGAATTAGATGTCAAAAAGATATTCGTAATTTTTAATATATAAAAAAAAAGAAACCTAAAGTTAGCAAACTAAAAGTTTGTACTACGTAAAAAAGATTCAATAAAAGAAAAATCCAGCAATTTCTTAATTATATTTTCCACTACTAATCAAATATCTCTTCAATCGAACAAAATACCATTTTTATCTATCGGATCAATTAACGATATAATCAACAATTCACCAACATATTACGACACTGTATACTTCATCAAACTTCTCGATCGCTATTCATTCCTAACTTAAACCCAACCCATTCCCTTTTTAAAAACCTAAACGTAGACAATCAAATCATTTGAAGAAAACTTTCAAATCCTATTTTTTTCTACCTTCACTCACATCTTCATCGCCGACCCATTACGAAAAAAAATCGAACGATCGATTTGCCTTTCATCAACGTCCCATCCACGTCCTAAAGTGAAATCATAAAAAAAAAAAATATTCTAAAGAAATCATGCAAACAATACAAACTACAATACAACCTATACGATTTCTTATGATTTTCGAGACTAGTCTACGATCGAGCACGGCTATCACGTGGCGTGGTCGATCAGGAATGCGGTTGGAGCGCGGTTGTGTTTCGTTTGTACACATTCGCCCGAGAGGACCGTGTGGTGCCTTATAACGCAACCCGCTTCACCTTTCGTTCTCTCTTTCGCGGCTTCCCCCTTCTTTTTCTTTCGCCAGGCCTTGGATCGAGCGGTTTGACATTTCGCTGCCGCGTTTATTCGCTCGGCCGTCGACTGTGGCCCCTCTGTCCATGAGGTGTCGCGTAAACGAGACACGTGAACGTGGCTATACACTTGTTGTATCCTCGAATCATATCAATCGCTCGTTGATCTTGCAATGATGCTCGTACGATGTAAATATTTATTTCATTTATCATTTATTTCATTTATTTCATCGTGGAAGAAATAGGATTTAATGATACGAAAAAGACATTTCTTTGATTTATATCACCAGTTCATTCCAGTATCTTGCAGATTGATTTTGTAATCGTAATTTTATTCTATTTTATATTTTTATAACAGATTGGAAAATAGGATCTGACGAAATATAAGCAAATATTTTATATAAATTTATTTCATATTATTAACATATCTATCTGTATCTTTTAATAAAGAACAGGATATCCTGATGATATAGAAAAATATTTTATTTATGTAGATAGAAATAAACGAGCAGTGAGTCAATGCAACAGTTCTCGTTCGAACTACATTCAAACTAGTTGAATATAGTCATGACGTTTTTTTTTTTTTTTTGACGATGAAAAGCCGGTTGATGGATCGATTCCAATATTTTGACGCATTTATTTTTATTAGACGTATCATGACACGTAAAATACGTAACAAGTATAGACCAACCTTTAGAATTCTTTCACACAACAACGTATAATTGGATGCATATCGAATGATCGATCGTATCATGAATATCGATCGTATATTCAGACCAGATTTCAAATGATATACATGATACATCGAAGGAAAATGCAAGCTGGTACACGGAGCGTATGCAATGTTGCACAATCTGGATTCAAGCCAAAATTCATTTGGCGTACAAAGTAAAATAAAATTTAGTGATAGAATTGAGAGAATACAATTAAAGGTTGTATTGTTATTAACAAAAGTAACTACGTGATACATTGGGCCACATGCACAGCAACATACATGCTTGGAATCGATAATGTTGATTCAACAGATTCTAATGCACACGGTCCCATGATCGCGCCATTGAAAATACAAATGTGTAGAATTGCAAAGCGACACGTGAAATTGCGTTTCTTCTCAAGTTTTCTTGTATGACGCCATGGGAAATTGGGCAATTGAGATCGTGTTGGTGGAATGTTGACGATTTGATCGATATCAATGTTTTCATATCTTGGGTTTTGATCGATAGATTCTTGCTAAATTACTTTGGTATTGTGTATCATACTTCTATTTCGCTAAAAGTCAATCTCAGTTTTTCTAAAAATACCCGAAATATTTTTAGATATTTTTACGAGATTTTCAATTTTAATGTTGTATGCTCTTCATTTTCTAATCTTTATTTTTAATTAATTAATTTATTTATTTGTTATTCTAGGTGAAAATATAATATTTTCTTGAGTTTTAAAACACTGACCATAAAATTGTTATTGATTATTTTTATAAAATTTTTATGGATTTCTCCTTTGATATATTCTTTATCGCGTGAAAGAAGAATAATTTAATTTAAGATCGTAAGAATAGAAAATTGTCATAGAAATATTAAATTTGATAGTTTATAGAAATAATAAGGAGAGGAAAGCGTAGAAAGGTGTAACAATTTTTATCGTATTATTTTAAGAATTGTTTCGAGCGAAAGCTGTTCGCATTAGAGGAGGCATTAAACCGCAGTTACGTTTAATAACTTCTTTCCATTTCTAACTACGCCACGGTGAAATGATACAAAATGTGAAATGAACAGCAAAATGTCATAACGCTGGAAAGGTGAGGGTCAACTTAGTTGTTATTAAGCGCGAGGTAATTCCATTTTATGATTCTTAAGTTGCATTCCATTTGCACTTTCACTTTCTTCGCTTTCTTTCTCCGCAAAATTATTAATAATGTTGACATTGTAAATAATAGAAAGCATTCGTTACACAAATATTATTAATATTATTATGAATCATTTTGAAACGATTATATATACATGACAATATATACACATAAATCTTACATACACATAAATAATATTACAAAATAGAGATATGTAAAATATGTTTAAATAATATTTAAATAAATTTGTTTAAGAGATATTTGAGAGATCAAATATTTGTTAAGAGATCTTTCTTTTATAAGTTTAATGTTAAGCATAAATTGCACATTTATATTATATAAGTGTTCGTTAAGTTATAGTATGGGAAAAGCTATATAATTCTCGTTAATAATGCGAAATAATAATGAGAAAAAAAATCGTGAGAAGATGCCCTTAAATAAACGAACAGTTTCACAAATAAGAAAAAACTTTGTAATATATTAATATCTCCTTATCTTTCTAAATCATTTTCATATTTAATTTATAAAACCGTTAACTTTCAGATGCAATCTGAAATTAATATCTTTCTCTTCTTTCCCCTTATGAATCATTCAACTTATTCAACTTATTCGACAATTTCAAGTCACTTTATTCAAGAATCTTCATTCAATTTCATCTTTAGAAATTTCATCGTTGAAAAGTTCAAAAAATATGTCGTACAAAAGAAAAGACGTACAAAGTAATTTAACTTTTCCTCATCTGTTGAAAAATCTCTATTCGACCAATACTCTGCAATTCGTGTAATTGTATCGTATTTCTATTATAATGTTCCTCACGAAAATTCTATTTTTTTTTTTCGAATATCCTAAAATTATTCGTATTATAAATATTTTTAATTTTAATTTATATAATTATAATTTTAATTTAAAATTGTAACGAATATAATATGTTCCCATTAATGTTATTTGTTTCCATTAACCGACATGATATGGAATGTGTCCTCATTTACTCTGTAATATTTCATTTGTCATGTATTTAAAATTCCAGCTGTGTAGTAACACTTCATACCGAATTAAAATTCCGTAATTTTATATTCGATAACAACATAAAAATAGATCTTAAATTACTGATGCATAACTAAGATAAGTTGTATGTGTAATTGTCAATAACAAATAAAAATTTAAGAATAAATAGCTTTCTAAAAGATTTTTGCACTGTATTATAAATATTGTAGGATTCGAAGAAAAAAGAGATTCCTTGCGATTTCTCGTGAGATTTAAATCCGTGGATGGTGACCCCGGATGGCGGGGTTTACACGTCTTTCGCCAAGGCATCTTCTTCATTCCTCAACGTTGTTGCTTTTTCTTTTACCTGATATGATTTCAATTTCATTGAACAGAAAAAAATTAGTATGATAGCAGTATATAGATGGAGTTCAAATATACGTATAATTGTAAAATCAGTTACTTATTGGCTAATTATTTGATATCTATTTATAATAAATGATTATAATAATGTATTAATAATAAATGCATTGAATTGTAGATTTTCCATCATTTGAAAAAATAAATCATGTTCATATATCAATTTTTTTGATCTAATATAATATAATAATAATATGATTATAATATGATTCAATATGAAAATTTATTGCATCGTTAAAGAGGTTAATTAAATGCGTTCCATTACGAGATATTAATTGGAGCAAGGTAACGTATAAAATTTCGAATCCGATTACACAGTTTTCAATAATGGCCATGATATAACGTATAAGTTTCCTTGAAATTGCATAACTTTTCGGCAAAGATTGGCAAAGATATTCGTCCACGAGCAATCGAGAACGTTCGCAATTTCTTTGGAATTTCTCCAGCCTCTCTATGATGCAATTTATTAGTCGGCGTGTTGCGACGTAATTGCACTCGGCACCGATATCGAACGTGCGTCTAATTGCACGACATATAATTGCGCGTTTGTTTGTTTCGAGTGGCATTATACATTTCAAAGGTTTGTTAGCAATATCGATGCCTGAAATATATATATATTTTTTAAAGAATTTTAAAAAGAAGTAAGTTTTTTGAAGAAAGAAATTAATGCAATTATAAATCAAGATCAACATTATCATAATTTCTGCTTTTATCCCTTAATCTTTGTTATTTGAATGCAAATGACAATGAACGAAAATTAATCTTATAATTTTTAGTGTCTATTTTTTAGTATCGATTTGAATATATTTTTACAAATTTGCACGAACAGATAGATGATATTTTGATATAAAATTTATTATATATACAATTGCTATATAATTAATTGCAATTTTATATGAATATTATGTTTTTATAATATTCAGTTTAAGTTAATTACCGAGACGTATATGTGTGATTCAAAAGTGTACTAAAATTTATATACGATCAGATATAATAATGATAATAAGATAACTGGAATAGATTAAAAAAAATATTTCTTAATAATTCTAGAACAATATAGTATAGTTTAAGATAATGATAAGATAATTAATCAGTAATTATATCTGGACAAAGTTATTTTAAGCTGAATTTAAATTCAACTTAGTATGTGAATGTAAAAGTTCAATTCCTATATTTTTTCCAACATAATTTATTGTATTCTTGAGAAATATTTCAAATTCTAGTCTTAATTGATTAGTTGTAGAGTATATAATTACAGAAATATTCAAGAATACATTATTACAATAATGTAACACTTTTCAATCCTAATCACCTATATAAAAAGATATGTAGCAAGAAAACAATAAAAATTATGCATAGTAATAAATTTGCAATTACTATCTTATCTGCACTTTTTATCTTATTCCTTCTTTATTTGACACCTTTCTATCAAATTTTTGTCATAAGAAATAAAAAAATTTAACATTTTCCCATAGCATTTTTTAATTCACTTTTTTTCTTCAAAAGAATTTGTTTAATACTCTAAATTCTAAAAAATTCTAAAAAATTACCAGAATTAATATAAATTTTGTTCATATCCAAGTAAATTCTTCAGAAATATTCTAGAGAATTTTAATTTACTTTAAATTGTACTAAAAAATAACAATTCTTTCATTGAAAAATCGAGGCAGAAAATAGTGAATGTGAAACTTTCTTCGTGCATTTGACTGGTAAAGCGAGTAAAAGTATCATCGCAAGCGTAATAGAAAAATAGCGTATATTTATAATAACCGGTAGTGGCGAACAAAAGCACTATCACGGCAGAAGAAAAATGACCAACGTGCAAAATCATCTGTTCCGCTAGAGGCAACACCGAAATTGAAAACCTATTCTTCGTCATATCCACTATATAACGTTATGCAATCTAGGAATTCTATTACGATTTTATTTCTGTCAAAAGTCAATATTGAATTGCGTACACTTGTAACTATACTACGTTGGAATTGTAACTTTCTAAAAATGTAACTTTAAAATTTTTAAGAATATTTCAAAAATAAATTTTTATTTTTATTTCTACTTTCTATTTCTGATAAAATTTAAAAAATAACTCTCGATCGTCACTTTTTCAAATAAAAATGCACAATGCTTATATTAGACACTTTTTCACTTTCTAATGAATATATCATGTTTTCCCTCTCCCCACAATCTTCGCATCCTTTATATAACATTCAGTTCACACTTTCCCCCTATCCCATACGAATTTAATCCAATATTCTTTTCTTTGAAATCCCAAATGGTTACCACAGAATCTCTTGATCAATCGCGAAAATCATCGAACAGCATATCGAATCACAATTGTGGAACAAAATCTAAACGAGAAAAAAATAGCGATTGTGAAATCGAATTTGTAAATCGATACCACAGTAACTCAATTGTCCCCACCACAATAGGTAATCTCGAAACTTTTTGAAATTTTATGATCGATGAACAACCGATATAAAACTGTGTGCCGCGTGTACTTTCTCGTGCTTGCATCGATTGCGCAATCCTGTATCGTCCACACAGATTTCCGGTTACAAACCCATTTGAAGTGCGCGAACTAGCGCTCGTCGGTCATCTTTGACATTTCGCGTTGATTTCTCCATAGCGTCTTCGCCACTTTCACGAACCGCCAAGGAACATACATTCGTTGCATAATGTAATATCGGCCTTGCGAGAAATTCGCATGAGCACGAACGGGAAAAGTACGGAAAAAAAAAGATCGTGTGATTGCCATTGTAAACTCTGTAAATGAAGTATCACGAAAGTTTTTTCATTTTCTGATAAAACTCGTCGATCATGTTCCACTTGAAAAGTAACCGCGGAATCGAAGAAAAATTAGAACACTTCACGGGATTCCACGAACTTCGCAGTCCGTGGCTGTGACCCCCTCAAATCGGGGTTTCCATACCTTTCGCCACGGAGTTCCTTCGACTCCACGATGTTACACCAGATGTCTTCTTCCCTAGTATGAAACTCCGATCGATATCAAAGCTCATTTCTTGCTATTGATAAGTGTCTGTTATTATAGTTATTCGTAGAATGTTGAACGCGTTTGTTGCGGAAAGAAACAATTATGGATTCTCATAGCGAGAAAATCGATAAAGAAAAGGCCTGTTTGTCGAGCACAGAAACGGTCACTAACAGATGCATACGTTTCATTATTCAACATCGTTCTCGTTGATAACCGTGGAACGTGCATCTTATCGCAAACAGACCGGACACGTGCCGGCGAGAACCGATCTTTCGCGTTATACTCGTTCAAGTTTTATGCTAATAATAAACACGAGTGTATTAGTTGCGCGTCTTAATGAGCAGCCTCGATAAGCATCAATAATTATCCACCACGATATTAACGGGAGTAACGAGCGAGTAGATTTAACCTTGGTAGTCTGCCAGGGTATGTATGCATCCGGTTACAAACTATCCCCGTGTAATTTAGAAAAGTTAGACTTAGGTGGAAATTTTATGGAGTTTTCGTGATTTCGGCGTTCTAATGGAGATGAACTTTATCCTAACTCAAGAATTTTTGTTATTTTTCAAATATAATAACGTTTTAATAATTTTAGGTGATGGATATTTATTTTAATATATTTGGGTATGATTGATAAGAATAATAATACGGCTTATTCTTAGGAGGATTATATTTAACGTTTATATTGATTTCTCTTGAATTATATAATATTATAACCTTGCTTCAAATTTAAATTTATAGAACGTAATTTAGTCTATAATATATCATCATGTTTGTGTAACATCAGAGAAAAGCTATATCCGATACATTTGACCTTATCTGCCACTTACAAGTGCTTTTGCAATACATCGATCATTCATGTTTTTATAAAAGATGCTTGTAAAAAATTTATAGAAAATTTTGTAACGTTATACTAATCTTTTACTATTTCAATTGAAATATAGCATTATAATCTAAATCGTTTAAATGATATATAATAATATTTATGAAAAGTTATAGAAATTAGATAATAGATTATTATAAAATAATTTATAAAATGATTTCCTGCATATTTCTTTTATTAGTAAACTTGACTTTCAATATTTAACACCTACTTCATCGCCTACTTCTAATCTTACGCTTCCCTAATTTTTTTTTTCATATTTCATTCCCTATTTCCCTTTACCTATAACCTTTATAAATAAAATATTTATACGTTATTTCGGTTATACCTGCAACAACTTCATTACGAAAATAATATTCTATTTCCTTAAATAATTCAGGCTAACATCTGCACTTCAAAGTTACACGAATTTTCCATAACTATTATTACATTATTCAAATAAAAATCTAAATTAAATAACACATCTCTCACGTTATTTTTACGTTTACGGAAATAAATGAATCTATAAAACTATAACTAAAAAATCTATAACTAAAAAATTAAATATCCACCGACATACGTTAAATTATAACTATAAATACACATTACAAATTTACTCACCCCGATATGTTGCCCATCGATGAAAAGCTGGGGCAACTGTATCACCGTGGAGCCCAAGCGATCTCTCAGCTCTGTTTGCAGCTCAGCGTCCCCAAACAAATCTAGCTCGTCGTATTTGACCATGTGCGTCCTCAGGATTTGCTTCACCTTCTTGCAATTGTAGAACGTTTTTCTCACGATACCAGAGGTCGTCGTGTATACTACCACTTTACCCAATTCCTTCTTTATGTACGCCTGCAACCAACCATGTAACGATCCCTATTAAAAATCGTGACAACGTGAAAATCTACTTAATTTCGTGTCGTCCTTTTGTATACACCCTGTTTTTACCTGGATGTACGTAACAATTCCAACTCCGAAATTTTGTACGTGATTATTAAACAAATTTGTTTGCGGAATGGAGGAATGGAAACCTTTCGAGACTGATATCGAGTTACGGTTACACTCAGCCGCGTTTTGCTTCGCAACTTTCGGCTGAATCACCTCGTCTCGAGGTACTTACGTATATACACAGCGAGAAAGTACGGGTTTCGATGGGTTCGTACAAAATATAGAAAACAAACAGGAAACTAAGATTGAAAAATAAATGTGAATGCGAATGTATTGTTGAAATTTTTATGTAAGAAACTGTTATAGAAATTTGAAGGATTGATTAAAACTATGAGATAGGATTTTAACTACGTTTCTTAAGTTAATTTTTATGTTTACCGGAGTTTCTCTTATATATATATTTTAAACGAAAAAAGAGAATAAAAATTTTTTTTTTTTATATAATAAAGAAATTTTTATTGTAAAAATTAGGAACGAATTCTGAAGATTTCTCTTTCTCTCTTTCTCTCTCTCTCTCTCTCTCTCTCTCTCTCTTTCTAAATCGAATAATATGGTGGATGAAAACACGAAGCGAAGACGTAAAAGTCACGGCAAAGTTTCTTAATGTTTTCTCTGTTGTAATTAGCCTTCGAGGAATAATATTGGTTGAAGAGTATTATAATCATTTGCCAGAAAATAATATTAAAGTGTTACTAACGAGTGAACTTAAAGTGCAGTAATTACATTCGTCTTACGTAAAAAGTCTTCACTTCTCGCTAAAATTAAAAGATCCAAAATTCAACCTCGCTCCAGAGATCATTTAATAAAGTATTATTAAATTAATCCTTGATCAAAATCTTCTTTGTCACAATAATTCTCCAATTCAAAAAAGGAGAAACATTAAAAACACATTAAATCATTTTGAATATTATAAAAACAATATATTCTTTATAACAACGCATATTATTCACGATATAGATTCATACCAGAATATTGCAATCAACATATATGACGATATCTGCGCATGTTTACGTCGAAGATGCATCGCTTTATTTGGCGCGTAATTCAAATTTATAATTGCGTTTGAATTCACGATCCATAGGAGAGAATCCGAGGTCTATCACGATTATGTAGGTCTGTTCTATCGCACAATTCATCCCATTAACCCCGTAAATGCTAACCATCCACGCGTTCCATTCCACAACCTTGCCGGGAATCGCGTATACCTACTTTATTTACATATGCCGCGTTCACAATGCACGGTGAAGGTAATGGATTCCACGTAGGCACGAAACGAAGAAATGTGGGTGTTACGAGATAATGACACTCGCCTCGATATGTGTGTGCACGAGGAAAGATTGGATTTAAATATGTTGAATATATACATACATATATATACTCACAAGTGTTATGTAAGTGTGGAATGAAAGACTCGTTTTCTAATGAGCCGACAGGTGGACGATTTATGGGAAATTGTGGAACGATATTCGTTTTTTATTATACACAAATTTTATTATATATTTCGAATATCTTTATCGCGGCTCTTTTTAACCGTGTGTTTGTTGTGGATGAAAAACTTGTTGATGAAAAACTTGTGTCAAATTTCCTCGATACTTTTACTGAATCAATACAAAATTGTTTTGGAAGTTTATATGGAAATATAAAAATCTTTTTAAATATAATTTATTTTAACGAATCATTTGATTTATTGAGGTTTGTATTAAGAAAAGATTTTCTTCTTTAATTCGTTTTTTTCTCTTCTTCTTCTTTTTTTCATGCCTGTTGAATTTCTCTTAACGTCGAGGAAACGAGAATTAAATTTTAACCTCGATGAAAGAAAAGAGAAGTAACGGGATAAATCTTTAACCGAAACGAGAACGTGATCGGGATAAGGAATAACAAGGGTGTAGGAAGATTAATATTCTCTTAGTATATGTAAATATGATTTTATAACCAGGAATATTAACTTAAAGGTTATTCCCTCGTAAAGTAAGTATATTGATTTTCGTATAGTGATTTCAAACTTATCCAAAGAAAAAAATATCTTCTTTCTTATAAAAAAAAAAGGTTAGATTATATTATCATGGATATATATTAAAATTGAAATCGAAGTAACAGTAGTTCATAAATTGCAATAAAAATTAAGGACAGCGTATCGATAATTCAAAAAAACGTTTCGATGAATGAACACGATATCTATTTGTCAATGTCCACTTCTTGCAATCACAGGCATAAATTGTAACTGCACTCGCAATTCCATTAATCACGAGTAAAAATTCACATTATTGGAACGCGTTTCTATATTTAAAGAATTTATTTTATTTATTTTACCGATTACTGAAGAAATAAAAATTATCGAAATCCTTTTTTCTTTTTTCTTTTTTCTTTTGAAATATTACTTAACTCTGATTTCTATAAAAAATTAATCAAATTTTTGTATAAAATGTTTATATCATTTTAATTTGCTGATGGCGTAGAAAGAAAGAAAGAAAGAAGACGTTTCGAGGAAAAACACGGAGATATCGTGATATCGTTAAATTACCTTTCACTAGGCAAAACAACATATAATAATTCAGCCAAAGTGCAACGTGTGAAACGATTTTCTGCGTTCTTCGATTTTACTTGTAACCCCAATTATAACTATGTTTCTGTTGTGGTGGATGAAACATAGTTTTATGATTTATATTCATAATAAATATAGTACTTTATTGATTTATATAATAATTGCAATATTTATTATTAATTGCAATGATGTAAGATGAATTTCAAATATCTTTCAGTATTTACATTATAAAAATTTTGATTTCTTTCGTTAGTAATCAAATAATTCTTTTATTATACAGAAAAATGTTAAAATTCATTTATCCAATATTTTTAATATTTTGTAATAACAATTTTTTGATTTAAATTTATTAAAACCGCAATTTCCTTACCCCAATATTGAATATTCAATTTGTTATTCAATGTATTAGAAAAATAAATAATAAAAGTTCACATCATATCATGTTACACATTTCCTCAAATGAGTATACGATGAAAAGTTTATCAAATTGCCACAAATTACTTTATTACCTATTTCCTGTTCTTTTCTACTTCAATTTTCTCTGAATTATTCGCCAATTGATTCACTTCGCTAACAAGCAATTGCAACGTAGTACCGATTCACTGTGCCATAATTCTTAATATAGTTACCATCGTATTCCATTGCAATTTAATTCAATCCAAAAACACGTATATATCGCGTTATATGTAGATATTTTGAATATCGAAAATAGCAAATTTAGCAGGATCGTATATCAAGTCATTTGAAGTCGAGGATCAATTTTCGCGAAATTCGAATATTCGTTGCAAAAGAATGAGCATAGATCATTGAATTACGAATTATTCAAAGAATTTTATTTACGTGTGGATAAAAATGATGGTTATTTTAAAAACTGGAAATAAATAAACTTGATGCTAAAGTAATGGTAATAAATTCATAAAATGCAATATACACAATGCTTGAAATTATTGCAACAAAAAGGAAACTTGGAATAAACTAAGCGAATCGGATTATAATGATATGAAATTATTACGACATGGTTTGTGTAGCTTTGTAACTTTGTAATAATTGTTTATACGTTTTTTTATATTCCATTTTATTAATACCAAAGATATCCTTTTATTTCAAAATTTTTTCTAAATCATCGTTATTGTACTATTTTTACAAAAAGATTTCTTATCCATAGATTCATATTATTCATAAAATAGATAAATTGAAATTTGTCTTTTTCAAAATCTTCAATCTCATTAATATTTAATCAATCATCGTTTATCATTTTTCGCTGTCAGCTTTCTCGTTTTTTCATCATCGATTTTCGTTTGATTGAAGATAAATATCTATCGAAAATAAATATACTATCATTATCCGTTTATTAATTATTTTCTATATCTTTATCTATTCTTTTCTTTCATTTATGCTATATATTTTTTCCGCCACTCGATTACACACCATGTTACAATCGTCATCGCATTGTTTCATCTCCAATCGAACAATAAAAACCAATAAAATGATAAGATACAAAGACCTTGTTATCGATGAAAAATGACAATCGTATAAAAGAAAGATCAAATATCGATCATATATATATATATATATTATACGTAATAAACCCAAATCCTATTAAGTTATACGTTTAATTAGCAAACGTGTAAACAAAGAAGTTGCTCTCGCAACTTTTCACCGTTGTTGTTGAGAAATAAGAAAATAATTCAATCGGAATTCTCGCGCTCGTGTGTGTATTATCGATGCCTATACAGGCAAATCGATCACGCCCGTGTGAATATTATGGATCCTCGCGTGGCCACTTTCAACGGGATCGCTAATGAACACGCATTACGCATTCGTTTCTCGGTGTAAAACCGGATCCCTCGTTCCAGGTGTACGATCAAAGCGATAAAAGGAAACTATAATTGCATAGGAATGCTAGGTGTAGGATTCTGCCATCGAGTTTTCTCTCTCTCTTTTTCTCTCTCTCTCTTTCTCTCTCTCTCTTTTTTTTTCTAAGATCTCGTAGCTAGGACGATCACTATTACGCCACACAAATCGCGCGAGCCTCTCTAATTATATGATTTTAACACCGATGAATCGTTAGAACGTGTTAAGACAGCAAATAACATTTGCATATATTTCTGAAACTGGCGATGATCAAGCTTGGATATAAGCCAGGCTAACGAGATTTATTATTTGGGTTTAGTTTGGATGAAGGATGGAAGAATGATTTTCGAAGGGAATTTAGAGAGATTATTTTCATTGAGAAGAATATTTTTGTAGTTTAATAAAGAATTGGTTAGATGATTTATAATTATAGGGAGAATAATTGGATTTTGAAAGGTCGTCGTTTGTATGCAGAAATATTAACTCCGTGTTGATATCTATTACGATA